AAAAAAAAAAAAAATCCAGCCAGGCGCGGTGGCTCATGCCTGTAATCCCAGCACTTTGGGAGGCCAAGGCAGGTGGATCATGAGGTCAGGAGTGCGACACCAGCCTGGCCAACGTGGTGAAACCCCGTCTCTACTAAAAATACAAAGAAAATTAGCTGGGCATGGTAGCAGGTGCCTGTAGTCCCAGCTACTCAGGAGGCTGAGGCAGGAGAATCCCTTGAACCCAGGAGGTGGAGGTTGTAGTGAGCCGAGATCACGCCACTGCACTCCAGCCTGGGTGACAGAGTGAGACTCCGTCTCAAAAAAAATATATATATATATATATAAAGTTTAGCTGAGTATGATGGCGTGGGCCTGTAGTCCCAGCTACTTGGGAGCCTGAGGCAGGAGAATCAAGTGAGCCTGGGAGACAGAGGTTGCAGTGAACTGAGACCCAGATTAAGACACAGAGCATTGCTAGCATTCCAGGGGGCTTCTTCCTTATCCCTCCCTGTCAGTATCTCTAGGGTACCTGGCATGCTGACTTTTCTTCCCAAGGATGACTTGACTTGGTATTGAGCTACTCCTGAGTTCTTCTCACTCTCCTTGATACAACTCACTTGACATATACAAGACTTGTTCTTGTGGTAGCAGCTCATATCTGCTTGGCTTGTGTTTATACCTCCCTCATTTACTGTTTTCTTACCTCCCTTGTTAGTGAGTATCTTCACAGCTGAATTTTAAGCTCCTTGAGAGCAGATATTGCTCACAGGCAATAGCACATTTCTATGAACATAATAGAAACTCAAGAAAATACTAGTGTTGAATGCTTTGAGGGGTGGCAGAAGCAGTAAGCAGACAGTCAAATTAAGGCAACTACTTCTCTCTTCATCCTCCATGTAGTTTATTTCTACTGTTAACACTTCATGTAATGTTGGGGGTGTGCATTGTTTTTTGATTGTGTAAGATCATGTATGCATTCGACTCTCAGGTTCCATTGTGGACAGAGTGGCAGCAGTTGATTCAAAGAATAAAAATGCAGGAGGAGAAAAGGTTAAACAGTGAAATCAAAGAGAATGAGCTTGCTCTGGCTCCTACTGTTGAAAGAACACTGGACTGGGCATTAGAACCCCTGGTTCTAGTCCTCTGCCACTAACTTGTGTGACCTTAGACAAGTCATTTAACTTTTCTGAACTTCAGTTTGTCTGTAGTACAACAGAGGTAATACTTTCTGACACATTGCACTCCACGGTAAGTCAGCTGTGTTCATAGCTGGAAGGCACTTTGACCAAAAGAATTTAGAGTATTGTCTCCACAGGTTCATATCTCCAAGTCAGGTAGGTACATTATCTTTCTGCTTTAAGATTCAAACTAGACTGGGATAAAAAGGTGGGAAGGCTGAGTTTGTAGAATCATAGAAGATTAATACCAGCAGGTATTTTAGAGATCATTCCAGTCCAACCCTCTCATTTTGCTTCTGAGTACACTGAACCACACAGAGATAATTTTCCCCAAGGTTTCATTGAACCAAGCCTGGATTCTGGGTTCCATTTTCACTGCTGTGCTGCAAGGGTCTATGTAAAAAACAAAAGGTGATTTGCTCTTGTTACTGTCTGGAGACAAGAAAGCTCTGGCCTGTGTCCTAGCAAAGAAATGATTAGGACTTTTGTCTGAAGCTTTTGCAGCTCTAAATTGACACACCATTTCAGCTCAATTATTGCCTGCCTTTTATTTATGGGGACAATAATCTCCCAGCACTTATTTAGTGCCTATTAGGAGTTTGCCACTCTGCTAGGTGCTGTGGGTGGGGTTTAGAAAAGATTGAGATCCATTCCCAGCTCTCAAAGAGCTTGGTGTGGGAGACAAGAGTCACAATGAGAGAACAATGGAAGGCAGTATGTGATTCAGAATAAAATGAGTAGTGCAGGCAATAAATGCTGTACAAGTTCAGAGGAGGGAGAGAGCTCCGGGAGCTGGGGGAGGGGGATTAGTGAGAGTGCAATTTTATGTGGGTTTTTAAGGATGGTAGGATTGTTTATGCAGATGTGGGGGAGGGCATTGAATTTGAGCTTGTGTGTGCATGCACGTGCTTACATGTGTGTACACATGCAAATGCAAGGATGGGCAACAATAGGGAGCCCTTAGTGAACACTTTCTGTGCACCAGACACTAAATTATGGTCCCCAACGTTCAGCTCATTTAACTGTTCATAACCTCATGGATTTGACAATAGTATCTTTCAATTAATAGATGTGACAATTGAGGCACAGGGAGGTTGAGTAAATTGTCCAAGGTGACACAGCAAGTAAATAATATAAATGGGATTAGATTAGAATTTATATCCTAAAAACACTTTGTTATTCTACTTGTAAATCCAGAATAAAATTTTAAGCCCCCTAACTGACCGAACAGACACACCCTCCAACATATACTCCCTACTTGACTGAGGGGATCTGGAAAGAAAACTTGAAAAACTAGTTCAGGCCAGCATGATGGTTCACGCCTGTAATCCCAGCAGTTTGAGCAGTTTGGGAGGCTGAGGCAGGCAGCTCAGTTAAGGTCAGGAGTGCAAGATCAGCCTGGCTAACATGGCGAAACCCAGTCTCTACTAAAAATACAAAACTAGCAGGGTGTAGTGGCACATGCCAGTAGTCCCAGCTACTTGGGAGGTCGAGACAGGAGAATCACTTGAACCTGGGAGGCAGAGGTTACAGTGAGCCGAGATCTAGATCTTGCTACTCTGGAGTTTAGGCACAATTGATCAGCATTAACATTAAAACAGAGATCATAAGGCTGACAAAACAGACTCTTTGTGTCAATAAGATACCGAATTCTAACCTGACCCAGGTATAGCACCACCTGACAGATAGCAGGCCCTGAAGGAAATCAAAGTATTTTACCCCAAAATGTATTTCTTTGACATATTTTGAAATGGCCTTGCAAAGCTATCTCTTGTGGAGAAAATCTACCTTCTGTAGAGAATCTCCTTCCCTTTCTAGGTCCTTTCATGATCCAGGAGAGATTTAAGTAAGAGAGGAGCGCCTTTTATAGTTCAATAAAATATTTTACATCTATTCTCTCTGAAAGTTGCTACCTGTAGGCTTCATCTACGTAGCAAGAATCTTGGCTTCCACAACGTCCCTTATCTTACCTCAAGCATTTCTTTCTGCTGACTTCAACTCTTTAGACAAAGCATAATTTTTTCAACCAATTGCTAGTCAGAAAATCTTTGAATCCACTTATGACTGTGAGCTCCCCCCAGCCACAAGAGATGTCCCGCCTTTCCAGGCCGAGACCAGTGTATACCTTACATGTATTGATTAATGTCTTTGCCTGTAACTCCTGTTTCTCAAAAATGTATAAAACCAAGTTGTAACCTGACCTCCTCGGGCACATGATCTCAGGACCTTCTGAGGTTGTGTCACGTGTCATGGTCTTCACATTTGGTGTTGAATAAATCTCTTCAAATATTTTACGGAGTTTGGCTTTTTCTTCAACATGCCTGTGAAAAAGGAATTTATGGTTCAGGTTAGAAAACTGGCCTGGCTACAGTCATCAGTAACCATAGTCATGGTTGCAAACTAGGGACAGTCTAGGCCAAATTTCCAACAGAAGCTCAGGTGGAAATTGGAGGGATTACTGAAGCCATTGGCTGAGTGCTATACCTTCATTCTTGCTTCCTTGAAGATAGTAACTTAAGGTCTTGGGATGCTGTCTGCCATTTCTAGGTGCTCCACAGGTTTGTCTTTAATGTTCCCTGGTTACATTGCTGAGGATTTAACAAAACACCTAAGGAGAAAGAACTAGTGAGCCTCTGAATCAAGCCTTGTATGTTGTCGTTCTTTATTAACTGGCACTTGTATTACCGAAAAGGGGTCTGAATTCAGATTCCAAGAGAGGGTTCTTGGACTTGAGCAAGAATTTGGGGCAAGAAAGAATTCCTAGTAATGTCAAAGCAAGTTTATTAAGAAAGTAAAGGAATGAAGAATGGCTATTCCATAGGCAGAGCAGCAGCTTAGGCTGCTAGACTGACAATACTTATGGTTATTTCTTGATTATATGCTAAACAAGGGGTGGATTATTCATGAGTTTTCTGAGAAAGGGGTGGACAATTCTCAGAACTGAGGGTTCTTCCCCCTTTTACACCATATAGAGTAACTTCTAGACGCTGGTGAGAGTGATTTTACCATGCTAATGCATTATAATTTGCATATTATGAGCAGTGAGGATGACCAGAAGTAACTTGCATCAGCATTTTGGTTTTAGTGTGGTTTGGCAGGCTTCTTTAATGCATCCTATTTTATCAGCCAGGTCTTCCTGGTGTATAATCTTATGCTGACCTCCTAGCTTATCCTGTGACTGGAATGCCTAACTTTTTGGGAATGCAGCTCAGTAGGTCTCAGCCTCATTTTACCCAGCCCCTATTTAAGATGGAGTCGCTCTGGTTCTAACGCCTGTGACACTTGGAGAACATCAGGGCTATGGCAGATGTCGTACAAGCTTGGAGTCACACAAAGCTACCTAGCTGTACTTGTTTGGAAAACCAGACTTGGAGAAAACGGGAGGGCAATGGCCTGATAATACAGTAGATTGCATTTTATGTTTTGAGCCTGGCTTGCAGGCAACATCCAAAAGTGTTTCCTAGGCAAGGTGCCTAAGTGTTTTCTGAATTTTCTTCTAACTCATCTTGAGTCTTCAATAAATATTAAATCAACATGAGGTAGGTCCCGAGAAGGTCCTTTTCCTGTTCCACTGTCTCAAGAAAAGCATAACAGCCAATGGGTAAAAAGGAGCAGGTATGAAGAGGGGATCTTATTTCAGTCAGTTGCCTTTATCCAGGTTTTGGGCTTAGAGCTGTTCCTCCACACTCAGAGTCCTGGCTGGCCTTGTAGGTTAGGAAGCAACTGCTCTCGGGAGAGGGGAAGGGGGAAGGGGGGGGGCGGGAGAGAGGTCAAGGGAAGCCTCTCTTCCTCCCACTGGCCTACCATTAAAGGTTTGTTAGGAGAAAGGGAAGAAGTGGGAGAGGGAGAAGGTGTGGCAGGGGTGGTCTGTGTGGAGAGGCAGAGTGAAAATACTGGATCAGAGCAGGAGGGGGAGGAGTAGGGAAAAGAAGCCCACATCCTAGGCTCTGAAGTGGGGAGTGGGGGAGTGGCTAGAAAGGGGAGAGAAGATGCCTTTCTGGTCTTGCATGAGGCTAGCGTTTCGTGGCAGAAAGGAGGAATCGCGAAGAGGAGCCGGCTATACCAAGCACATACCCCAAAGCCAAGTTGCTCATTAGAAAGGCTTATTCGCTGCACAAGAAGTTGGTGCGGGCCGGCTAAGCGCCTACTATGTGTCCAGTATAGAAAGAAAGAAGTGCCCTGGAGAACTAGGTCGCGGGAGGCGGTGCCAGTCAACAGGGCTTCACCGAGGGGGCGAATTCCGTACCCGGTTGTGAAGGAGGGTGGCTGTGCACGCGTGCAGGCTCCGAGTGCAGAGGACGAGGCAGGCCAGGGAGGAGGAGGAAGGAGGCGGAGACTGAGCCGGAGGAGGGGGTAGGAGGAGGGAGAGCCGAAGCCGCGGAGGGTGGGAGGTGTGAATGGTGGACCAGTCAGGGGAGTGCCGGAGGCAGAAAAGGGAAGCAGGCGAGGAGGAGTAGTCCTGGCCGGAGGGCGTGTGGCGGGGTCCAGAGCTGAACTGGACGAGGCGGGAGGGAGGCGGTGGCGTTGGCAGCGGCGAGGGGGAGGAGAGAGAGAGAGGGGAAGAAGGAGGAAGCGAGCGCGGCTGCTGCAGGGGGAGGAAGACTGGGAGGAGGAGCCGTGCGCCGCGGCGGCGGCCGCCAGGGGAGCCGAGCGCTCGGCGCGGGGAGCGAGGGAGCGGAGCAGTCGCCCAAGCCAGGGCCGCGGGCCGAGCTGCCGGTGAGTAGAGCCCCGAGGGGCGCGGCTGCCGGTCTCCGGGGCCGGGCGGGAGGCGCGGGAGCCTGCGGCGCCGGGGCGGAGGGAGGGGGCCGGCTTTAGTCCAGCCCCCGGCTGGCCCGGCCTCCCGCCCTCCCTCCGGTTTCCTCCCGCCGCTGCCTGCGCGAGGGGGGCAGGTCCCGGGCGGGCCGCTGGCTAGGGGTGGTGCTGCCGGGAGGGCAGGCGTCTGGGGCCGGAGGGTGGAGCTGGGGGCTCGGGGGTGTACCCGGGGGCGGGAGGCTGAACCGGGACGGCTCTAAATTGACTGGAGGGGCCAGTCGGCGGCGAAGTTGCTAGCTGGGGGCAGAGACGGCCACGCGGTTGCAGGAGTAAGAGATCCCTCTGTGGCGAGTGCGTGAGATGAGGAGCCCGGCGTCCCAGCCATCCCCGTCGCCCTCCCCGCCTGCCCGGCCCCGCTAGCCCCTCTCCTGGCCTCCGCGTGTCCCCTAGCTCTGACCCCTTTTGCCTCCCGGTTCGCTGCCGCAGCACTGCCGGTCCCCTTGGCCCCCGCCCTGACCCTCTCGGCCTCCGGCTTCCCTGACCCCTGCTTGCTTCGCTACTGCCCGGTTCCCCTTTTCTTCCCTTGCTAGTTACCCGTCCTGCTTCCTAATTCCCGGTGCAATTGCCTCTTTGAGACCTTTTTTTTTTTCCTCTCCTTCCTTTTAGATTGGCCAACGGCTCCTTTCAACCCTGCCTCGTTGGTGGCCACTGGAGAAGCGCGGGGGGCTCCCCCAGACAGCCGTGGGGACAAGTTAGAGCCAGCACTTTACCCCGGGCCTCGCGTGTAGCTTCCCCTCCCCTGCTCACAGTGCCCTGGTGTCTGGAGGGGGGTTGTGGGGGTGTGCCCGCCTTACATGGTCCACCACTCGGGCAACCCCCTGGGCTCGTGTTCCATCTCACTCTTGCTTCCTGCACTGTGGTCAAGGAGATCCACTTTGCATCATGTCCCGGTATAGCTACAAGAGTCTCCTGGACTGGCTCTATGGGGGCGTGGACCCCAGTTTTGCAGGCAATGGGGGCCCCGACTGTGCTGCCTTCCTCTCTTGGCAGCAGCGGCTGCTGGAAAGTGTGGTGGTCCTGACCCTGGCCCTGTTGGAGATCCTGGTGGCCCTGCGGCACATCCTGAGGCAGACGAAGGAGGACGGTAGGGGTAGCCCTGGCAGCCAGCCAGAGCAGGTGACCCAGCGGCCAGAGGAAGGCAAGGAGAGCCTGAGCAAGAATCTGCTCTTAGTAGCCCTGTGCCTGACCTTCGGGGTGGAGGTGGGCTTTAAGTTCGCCACCAAGACCGTCATCTACCTGCTCAACCCCTGTCACCTGGTCACCATGATGCATGTGAGTCTGTTGACTTTTTCCTGGGCAGCCTAAGTGATAAGAGTCATTTGTGTGCTCAGGACACTCCATAGTGTACAGCACCTCACCCGGCGGGGAGTGGGACCCTTAAAATGATTTTCCAACGAGTGGCTGCCCTTGTGCCAATTTCAGGTTTGGCTTTCTTTCACCTTTGCACAATGAGTCAGCCCCACAGTGGAGATGAGGAACCTTGTGCCTGAACCTTAGGAACGACTGGCACTCATGCTGGCTGCCTCTCCCCTCCCAGCCCTACCCTACCCTGGCCATGCACAAGCAGGAAGTCCAGGCCCAGCCAGGTGCCCTTTCTGATTCACATCAGTGGACCATGGCCCAGCTCCCTTGCCTTCTGTGGTAGTTGATTTCCCAGGGGCCTGGTGACACCCTTTCCTGGAGGTGGTCACATAAACTTTCTCATCTACACTGTGGTACTTTGGGGAAATACTTTTACGAATTTCTCTGAATGACTCTTTCATTTGGGAGTTTATGCTTTTAGAGTGAGGTCTACCTTTGCAATTAGAGTCGTTGGAGCAGCACCAAGCTCCTACTAAGTGAGTTCTGAAGGAGGTCCCCAGTCTGCCTTATGAACTTTGGGCTTGTGATCACTATGGTGAGAGGGTATTTCTTTCTTTCTTTCTTTTTTTTTTTGCATACCTCTCCATCTTATCACTGCCATTCTGTCTCTTGTGGTTATAGTCTGAGGGTGCCTAGGAAGCTGATTTCTTTACCTCCTCGACTTCTACCCATTAGTGGTGCTAAGGAAAACAAATGAGATTGAAAAGGCAGGTTGCCAGATACATAAAAATAATCTGGGTGAGGACCAAGAGTGAGACTGTCTGTACTCGGCCCGTGTGGAGAGATGTTCTAAAGCTAGAAAACCATGGAAGAGGAGGAAGAGGAGAATGGAGGCACAGTCAGTCTTTTTTAGATTTTGGGCTATGGAAAACCCAGTGTGTTTTATTCAGGGCAGTTTTGAAACCTGTCTTTAGCACCTTTATTGCCTTTATGTTTGTAGAAGGTTATTGTTCAGAGACTAGTGACAACCTAGCTTGGGGCAGGAGGTTGACATTATTATCTCCATTTTACAGGCCTGGAGGGCTTCAGGAATGAAAAGTCATTTGTTTGTAGCCAAAAGGTGAATTGGTGCCTGGATTGGAAAGCACACCCATCCACCTTGAGGTTGCAAGCTGTCAACCCCAAAGTGAGGGTGGCAGTGGGTGGTGGGGCACTCCTCTGGAAGTCTTAGGCAGATGAGCACCACGCTGCCTACTCATGGCTTGGATACTTGCTTGCACTGTGTTCCTAGGAAGTCATTTGATTGCAGGCTCCTGGCCTCAGTTTCTTGCAGACATGGTAAGGAGATATGGATAACTTTGAAATAAAGCGGCTATTTTTGATTAGGTGGCTGTAAGCATCGGGGCTGGAGTGGGCAGCATTTTTTAAGAGAGGGCTTCTTGGGAAGTAATGCCATTCACAGGAAGTCCAGGGCTGTCCCAGCTAGACCTTCTGTGTAAATTTGAGTCAGTCCTCTTTCTTTCTTTCTATTTTTAATGAACGGGCTTTTTGTTAATGAGAGGAAACAACGCATCTCAGCCGATGCTGTGTGAGGCTGTCGGGACAGGAGTGCTTTTTTAGGATGGCAGGTGGTGAGGGTCAAAGGGTGCTTCTTCTACAAAGTGGTCTTGAGGCTTCTGACAGCCACATACCTAGAAGGTCAACAAAGGACTAAATTCAGCCTGACTGGGGTTGCTGCTGGTGTAATGACGTCAAGCCTGGCAGGACCATGGTTTTTACAAGAAAGATTTTTAGAGGCTCTTAGAAGATTCTGGAGAACTAGTGCTGGCATTAACTCATTGTGTGACTTTGGAGAAAGTACTCTTCCTGGGCCTCAGTTTGCCTACCTGTAATATGAAGCAGAGTTGCCTTCCTGGCTCTAGACCGTCTATGTGATTCTTGTCTCTCTAAGTCATAGATGGGGATACAACAGAGAGCTATTCTGAAATGCTTTTGACCTCCTTGTGTGGAAAAAAGAAAGCTAGTTTCTTCTCTGTGGAAGTCAGGTGACCAGTCCCCATTCATTGTTTTCTCCGTGTGTCTCCCCAGTACAGTAAACTCAACTGGGCCATGCTTGGGAACACATGCAGAGGATGATGGCAGACTGTGAAACGTTAGGATGGGGGCTTAGAACACACCATGCTGAGGAGTTCTTGAGCCCCATCAGAATTATGCTTCGTTGTCCTTTTCCCCTAAGTCACTGCTTTGTATCATTTAAAGAGTAACCCCTGGTATACCAGGAGACCTAGCCTCTGATTAATCCAACTTTCTATACCCTCTATATGGGTTTTCCTGGGAAGCAGGAATGTATGGATTGTTACAAGTTGATGAATCCTAAAAAAAAAAAAAAAAATTAACAGCAGATGGTTGGAAATAGTTTTCTGACTTGGTTGCAGAATGACCAATGATGGTATGTATACCTAGAACAACATAACACCTTTTATTTATCTAGTACTTACTGTTTATAAGGCACTTTTGTATACATTGTCATATTTTGCTTAGGGCTGGAGAAAGAGATGTTAAAATGTTTCCTGCAACAATGTATATTCCAAAGAGGAGATACTGTGTAAAAAGAAATGCTTTGACAAGTGAACTAGCTGAATTAGGCTATGTTATAGTGGCAAATTCTGTGGAATTTAGAAGTTGTAACAAAGAGAGATATTAGCTGAAGTGAAAGGGATAGCTTAGCAGAGACATGTCTGATATGTGTCTCTCAACAGGATGACTCAGTTTTGGCTTTATAGAAAGGCCTTCTTCCTCAGAGAGTCAGTGTAACTTTGTAACAAGGGAGGTATTGCTTTAGGCCAGGAAATAGATAAGTTGGAGGGAAATTGGTTAGACTCCCCATCTCTCATTTTTCAGTCTGCAAAATACTCATTCCCAAGACCTTGTTATACAGGCTCTCGTCATAGCCATGCTGCCTTTGGGTGACTGCCAACTTTAGTAGCATAAGGAGGAGCAGTACTTGTGTCCAAGTTCTGTTATTGATTAATATTCATCCTGTCAGGTTTCTTTTTGGCCTTGTCGGATTTCTTAAATGTGTCCTGGGACTGGAGACTGATACAGGCATGTATGGTTGACATAGCGCCATCTCACAGCTAAACCTCCAGCCAGACATGTTTGAGTGTTCTCAATATCAGCAAGCACCAAGGTTAGCACATGGTTGCTAAACACCTTGCTAAATATCAGTGGTGTCTATCAATTATACCAATAAATATTTCTTCAAGCATGGCTAGTCCCATTTTGCTTACAATTTTGGCAGGTATGTGTGGCAGGGAGTGAATTTATGGAGTGATTATTCTGTTTACCAAAAATCACCCAGTAAGTTAGTGGCACAGGTGGCTTTAGAACTGAGCTGCCACAGTGGGAATCTGGGCTTAGCAGGAAGAGATTCTCATAGTTTTTAAGTCTTTAAAATCTACAGTTTCTCAGCAGAAGGGTTAAAATGCTAGATAGTGTGACTGTTGTAAAGACACTGGTGGTCTTTATTTAGTGGCCCTTTACCCTCCTTGAGTCCAGTTATGTTGCCTTTGTGTTAGAAACTTAAGAAAAGTATCCTATTTGGGATGTCTTGTTTAATAGTTCAATTCTTGGGCACAGAACTTAGTGGGGTGCAGCATATGCCGTTTAACCCTTGATGTCCGTGTACATAAGGTAGGCTGTATCCTGGCTGGGCATTTGGCAAATAATTGGTGCTGTTGACCCCTTAGTCCCAAGCTGTTGGTTTTTAGTGAGTAACTGAATCCCATCCTTTTTTAGAGCTTCTGTAGCTATTTGATTTTTTTTCTTCTTTACAATATATTAGAAATCTAGCTTCAACCAAATATGGCTTATCTGCTTTTGGTTCACTGTATGATTTTTCTTACCTCCTCCCTCCTTACCAAAAGTATAGAATGACACACACTCAAAAAGTCCTGAGCTTCTGGTGAAACCCTTTGCAACTCACTGAATACACACTGTTGCATTCCAGTTGTTATGTGATGGATATGTTTTAGAGAAAACCTGATGGATTTGAGAAACTTGGCTTTCTGTTTTCCCCCTTGACTTCAGACCAGACACACCTCCTCATTCTCCATCTGTTGTCTGGAGCACTGATTACTGTTCCTGCTTGGGACTGACGTTGGTGGGTAATGGGTACAATAAAGGATCCAGCCATCTGCTGACAGCTTATCAGATGAACTGAGTCCTGTGTCATCAGTCCAGGGGGACACAGGCAATGATGTTTATATGGGCCTCACCAGTGAAGCATGACATTCCTTTTTAGTTTGTTTTATTTCTCCCCCCAAGGAAATTTGCAGAGAATTTTTCCATCTTTCATTGTTACAGTCTTCAGGGGCGTCCACATAAAGAGAGGTGCTGCGGATCAGTGAATTAAACAACCCACAGACAGCCCCGGATTTAAAATTATGATGCTAGTTTTGCTCATGGCTTGCTACAGGAACCTCAGCAAACTATTTAACCTTTTCCTATCTCAGTCTTCTCCATGAAATGGACCACGGGGAAATGAAGCATTTGAATTCTCTGAATAACTGTGTGGTCACTT